AACATCGGCTGCCCACAGAGCTGTCATTCAAACTTCAAAAATAACCCAAACTTGATGCCAAAGGTCAAAGAAGGGGTGGAAAAGTTGCTTAAGGCGAATTTCATTTGTATTTGTCGATACCCAGATTGGATTCCAATATCATACCCATAATAAAGAAAAATGGGAAGATTCAAGTGTGTATCAACTTTCGTAACCTTAATTTGGCGACGTCCAAAGATAAGTACGTCATGTCGATCGCCGATACGCTTGTCGACTCAATGGCAGGGTACAAGATCTTGTCTTTTATGGATGGGTACTCGGGGTATAATCAGATATACTTAGCCGAGGAGGATGCCTAAAAAATAGCATTTCGATGTCCAAGGGCAATCGGCATATTCGAGTGGATCGTAATGCCCTTCAGATTAAAGAACGCCGGAGCAACCTATCAAAGAGCCGTGAATACGATTTTCCACGACCTAATCATCGAGTGCATGGAATCGTCGATGTTGTCAAATTCAAAGCATTCGACCACCATCTCACTGACCACTGGAGGGCCTTCACTTAGATGAGGCAACACGACCTTAAAATGAACCCAGCGAAGTGCGTGTTTGGCGTCCAAGCGGGAAAGTCCTAGGCTTTCTCGTCCATTAGAGGGGGATTGAAGTCGATCAGAATAAGGCGAAGGTGATATAGGAATTAGGACCACCACGCAACCTCAAGGAATTGCAAAGATTGATGGGCAAGATCAATTTCTTACGGCGATTCATTGCCAACGCCGCTGAAAATATGAAGACATTCTCCATGTTACTACGCGGAAGTCGGAAGGTTTTCAAATAGGGCACAGCGTAACAGGCCGCTTTGGAACAGAACAAGCAGAGCCCTTACATCACCACCGGTGTTGATGCCGCCGATCCCGGAGAATGAGCTGAAACTTTACATTTCAGTGATGAAGGACACTATCGGCTGCCTTCTCGTACAGAATGATAAATTTGGTCGAGAAAAGACGATTTATTATCTCAATAAGACTTTGAATAATGCTAAAATTCGTTATGCATGTATTGAGAAACTATGTGTATCTTTATATTATGCATGCATGAAGTTGTAGTACTATTTGATGCCTGTCATAACTATTGTATTATACAAAGTCGACTTGCTGAGATATTTATTGAGTAGGCCGGTCCTCTGAGGCCGCCTAGTCAAGTGGGCTATGAAACTAGCATTGTTCTTATTAAAGAATCAGCCCCTAAAAATGGTGAAAGGGCAGGCCGTCGCCGATTTTTTGGCTGAATACTCCGGAATGATCGAAGCCGCTCTCATGGGATACAACGGATTGGAACCATAGCAAGTTACATTCGATGGTTCAAGCACCAAAGGAGCAACAGGGGCTGGAGTTGTAATAACTTGTCCCCAAGGAGAAGTTTGGCGTTTCGCACATTAACTCCCGCATGGAATAACCAACAACCAGACGGAGTATGAAACTCTTTTGCTGGCTGCGTTTTCTCGCTACAAGACAAGCTAAAAATATTCTGATCCGAGGCGACTCTTAGCTGGTCATCCGACAAGATTTAAGGAAATTAAATGCAAAGACCCGAGACTCCAGGAACTCCTCCGGGAGATGCACAGCCTGCTCCAGCAACTTACATAGGTGATACTAGACAACATCCATCCGATCAACACAACAAAAAATTCAATTCCCTTCTTTTTACTCTTTATTCCTGCATTATTATTTTTCTATTTTCTTGTTAGCCTTAACTGTCCAATTTAATTCAATTTTAAGTTCTTCCTTAATTATTATTTTTTTTTTTACAGTTCTTCTTCTTCGTCTTCTTCGTAATTCAGCAAAGCAACAACGTAATCACCAAAGTTTTTTCCATTAATTTATTTTTTATCGCGAGACTTATCCCGGATATTTTCTTGAGTAGGCTAGAGAACCCGATTATTGTCGATTTCGACTGGCCTAGATTTATTAGGCCGCCGTCGATAAATTTCAGCAACGACAAATACATAGGTAAATAGTGTGTATGTTTTGTTATCGAGATTGAGCACTAGCCGTAGTACAAAATCATTTTGATATATATATGTATATAAATATAGACGAAATTACTGCATTGTTTGGTTTATTTAATTTGAGGATGAACCGAGGGATGTAGTGACAAACAAGATCGCCGTCATGCAATGTATATTAAAAGTCTTTTATTGGAACCCAACATGTATAAATGAGTAGAATACTATTTGTTGAAATATCTTTGTTGCCTTTGTACGTGGAAAGCCATGATAAAAATAAATAAAATTAGGTGTTATCCAATTGATGAACTAACTAATTGAGGGGATTGATTGGTTGATACTTAATTGATTCATTGTGCCTAAAACTGTAAATAATTTGAAAAGTTAAATCTAATGATTTTTAAAAAATATTACAAAAAATTATATTTTTAGGAGATTTTATTATACTCCCTCTATCCCTGAACAATTTATCAATTTTTCTATTTTGGTCTGTCACATAACAAAATATCTATTTCATTTTTTAGTAATTGTAATATCTACCCAACATTACAAATACTCTTCCAATTTATAATATATATTACACAAATGTCATTATCTTTATATCATATAATAGGCTAGTTTAATCCTTTTACCTTTATTTCTACTGCATTCCAATATAATACTAAAATTTATAAAACTCCGTGCAAAAAGAAAATTGATAGATAGATATGGGACAGAGAGAGTAATATTTTCGACTAACAATAAGAGTTAACGGAGGATAATGTTAAATCTTTTCTTTATAATTTAAGAACTTCATGAAAGTTTTTTGTTTGTGTTTTAAGATTTCTTACAAAATTTTTAATTGGATAAATTATATAATACCCCATTGTGTTTTTAGTAAAAATGCACAAAACACCAAGTGTTAATGTAAAATTTGCACGAAACGCTCTCATTGTCCAAAACTGATATTTGATTCTAAATAAAGACCTAAATTACGCAAGTTTAATACAAATTTTTGAATAATATAAATAATTTATTAATCCTTCATTTTATAGTTTTTGGAAACAAATTGTTATCTGATTTTTATAAAATCTATAAAAATAAATGATTAATCAATTATTTATTTATTTATTTTATTAAAAAAAATTATTTAAAATATTTTATATTTTATATTTGTATAAAACTTACGTAATTTAAGTCTTTATTTTTAAATAAAACACAGGTTATTTTGCGCTTTTTTACTCAAACACAATGAGATATTATATAATTTATACTTTTTAATATTTAAAATCTTTTTTCTAAAATATTAAATCAAGCAATTATTTTTTATTTTTTATATTATATTTAAAAATCAATATTTATTTATATCACATTCAATAATTATTAAAAAAACTTAAACCCAAAAACCAAATACACAAACAAACTATATATATGTTTTTTAAAAAGAGTAGTAGGGATTTTGTAAATATTTATATAAAATTTAGAAATTGTATAAAAGTTTCTTACATTTTTTAAGAACACAGCACAAAATTTCATTTTCAAGAGATTCGATGCAATCTTTTCCTGAGCTACTCTATGTTTTAGAAAAAATTTTCCAAAATTAAGTTGTAATATCACTAAGATGAGATGATCCATTAGAGTACCATATTATAAAAGAACAATCAGACTTGAGCATGCCAATTAGTAAATTTTTTTCCTACTGTGCTACTTCATGATAAGACATCTTATACCATATTACTAATGGTACACCCATTGCACAGTTTGTATAAATTATTAAATAATATTAGATAAATAGTTTATTATATTGATAAATATATTGTAGAAAGATTACTAATCAACAATTAATAAAATTTATTATGTGACAATATTTTAGCCATGCCCATAAAAGTGAAGCTAGTACTATTTATATATATATATATACTAGGAACCCGGTGTAAGAAAGTTTTATAAGTATAACTCATTGAAAATGTATAGATATTTTAATTGGACATGTCCAACATAACATTCTTTTAATCAAATATAGTACCACTATTACTTAATCTCATATTTGTCTCACTCAAAAAGAATAAAGAGGAAATGATTTGTTTTGTACTGTTTATTTTCCCAATTTGTATTTGTATTTAGGGCAATTCCTTTTATAAGATTAAAAAATAATAAAAAAAATATTTATGTAAATAAATCCAAACTCAAGAGAATGATTAGGCTGCAGATTTGAAAAAATCAGTACGGTACTGATTTTTCAACTCAAGTACAAACAACACACAATATTATATAATATACAGTACATGTTGTGTATAATAAAAATGTGCTATTTTTTTTATAGTAACAAATACGTTGTATAAGAGTATGTCATATATTAAAATTAATTATTATATGTTGTATGAGACTACAGTATGTATTGTTAGTATTTGTATTATATTAACATAACTGTTAGTATTCTTTGTTCATGTGATAATATTTGTATTATATTAATATATACAATATATACTAATACTATGAACTATCAAATAGCATACATTTACTTTTCAATGTTCAACGCATAGCTAAATTTTGAATTCGGGACCGTAGCCGCCGCTCAAACCCAAACATTAGGAAGTATGGTTGTGCATAAGAGCATCTCCAACCATGCTCTATTTATGGTGTTTTAACACCATTTTTGCCGCGACGGTGCTCCAATCCAATTCCATTTCATGCACCAAATTTAGAGTTTAGTACAGTGCAACATTATTTTTGGTGTTGCACCGTAGCAAAACATTATTTATTTATTATTTTTTTTTATTTTTTTAATTTTTTAAAATTATAAATTTAATTTTTATTTTTTAAAAATTTTTTAAATTTTATTTTAAATTATAAAAATAAAAAATTATTTAAAATAATAGAAAAAATTGAATACTAAGTGAGGATGGGTTGGAGAGGGGTAAGTGTCTAAAATCCACACCCCGCCTCGCCCCGCCCCGCCCCGCCCCGCCCCGCCTTTAGCTTTTGACGTTGAGATCAGTTGAGATGTTCTTATATTCATAATGATAATAATAAGTTGCTCCTTAACCCCCAACTGACTACCAATTCTCATCATCCCCAAACCGCTATTTCCTCTTCATTTCCCACATTTGCATTTCTAAATTGAATCAATCCTCTTGAGCTGCGTCGTCCTAACTATCATGACCTCCGCGCCCTCATCGTCGTCAGATTACCGCCGGCGGGTGCCTCACGGGGACATCGATCATGATGACTACAATTGGAGCCTCAGGTTTAACTTTGTGGTCTCTGTTTCGCTTTGCGGATCCAAATTTTTATTTTGATGGCGTTCAAGTGATTTTATTTATGCGTTTGTTATTATTGTTCCTGTTCTTTTTTAAATTTGAAGCTTGGAGTTCTCTCGCATGCTTGAATTAGGGATTGAAATGTTCAATTTATGTTTCGGTTTTACTATTAACCTCTTTTACTATCTTGGACGTGTTAAGTTGGATTTTCTTGGAGATATATAGTAGAAATTAGATCTTTACTGATAAACGTACAAGTTTTGGGAGGTTGTGAGCAAGAACTTGTTTGCCCACGATTAATACAGCATGCTAACTTGTTTTCATGGATTAGCTTTTGTATAGATGTAAATGTCATCTAGAGAGTAGTAAAAAAAGGGCTTTGACATGATCTGATATGATATGTTCTGTTTGCAGTAATGTTTCAAAATTGTTATCTCTGAGAGAGATGACGCCTCAAACAACGAGAGCACCCAAAAGTCTTTGGGGAAAGGAATTCTATTTCTGTCCATATTCCTATGGACTGAAACGTGATCAGCCAAAAGATGCAAGACAAGAGATTCGCATGTGGTATATGCAACTTGAATACATTTTTAATCTTTTATTGATTGTTATAGATGTCGGCGGTGTAAAGTTTGTATGTGTATATCTATATGATTCACAGGGTAGAAGCAGAGTCATTACTACATTTATCAGGCATGTATTGCCAGATCGAACCTCAACCAAAAGCAACATTGGCAATAGACTTCAGTCCTGATGGAAAGATGCTTGCTTCTACTCAGTTAGCTTATGCTCCATCTGTCTGTATAATTCAATGTATGCTTGACAAACTGTTATGTGTTTTTAAAAATCTACAATTCTATTAATGCTTACAGTTCAGACTTTAGTGTGAGGATATTTGATTGTCAAACTGGAAGATGCTTAAAGGTACTCACAGGGCATAAAAGTGTATCTTGGACGGTAAGCTCTCTGTTGACTAGGTTCATTCAACTGTTATAAGCTACGCTGTTTTAGGATTCATTATCTAAATTGTTAATCTAACTATTGGCACAAAGGGCAAAGATAGCTAGCTTCTTACAAGTTCTTACAAATGTAATTGTTTTGCTAAGCAAGAGTTTATTTGTGTTGTTAGAACCTCATGCTTGCACACTGGGGCTTTTGTAGGTTAAATTCCATCCAATTGATCCTAAAGTTCTTGCAAGTGGAAGTTTAGACAGTGTAGTACACCTGTGGCATGCAAATACTACAACCCCTGTCAGATCGTATATTTTTGGTAATCTCAATATTGTTCACGATACTTAAAAAAAAACAACATGCTTTGTTAAAGCATTTCTCTTTATAATATTTCTTGCCACTTTGCAGATGATCCTATCGATTCAATCACCTTCCATCCCCAAGGGGAAATATTGGCAGTAGCCTCCGGAAATAAGGTTGGCATTTCGGAGAAAAACAAATATTATTACCTTTGTTTGATGTTATGATAGCTTCGATGAGTTAACCTTTGTATGCAACAGATTAATATATGGAAATACAATGATATAGAGCAGAATCCTAGATCTATCCTCCGTACTAGTCATGTTCTCCTTGCAGTGCAGTTTCATCCGTGTGGTGCACAGCTTCTTCTGACGGCTGAAGTTCTGTTTTTTCACTGATATTTTTTATTTTTATTTTTATTACATTAATCTCAAATGTATCATTTTAATAGTGGCTGTCTTTCAGAAGAGCATCCGGAGTAATAAGAAATCTGCAACATTACCGGGATTCTCTCGTTACCCCCCTCCAACTCTACATTTTTCGGATGAAAACTCTGCTTATCGGTCTAATTCATACAATGGATCGCCAATCATGTCTCTACCATTTCTAGTGTGGCCGTCGATTACCAGAAGTGATGCCAGCTCAGTTTCCGAAAGGGTGGATCCCAGCACCAGCTCTTCTGTTTCAGCGCAGATTGGGGAGTCATCGGCATCCAGGAGACTTCTTACATATACAACACCGCCTGGTGAATTTGAACTCAGATTATCTTCGTTTCAATCTCCTGGTAGAGAAGAGCCACAAATGAACACTTCCACCAGTGAGATGGGAAATGATGCTTCTCAACCAGTTGCTGAACCTATGGAGATTGAAACTGAAGGTGATGGCAGACATCAATCTCTTCCATTTGGTGACCCATCATATTGGGAACTTCCAATTTTACAAGGATGGTTGATTGGTCAAGGTCAAACAATGCCTGTCACATCATCAGCTCCTTCACCATTTGAATATGTTGAAAGTTCAGGAGATGCTCGAAGATATCGATCACCATACCGATCTTCACACCGTTCGAGTGAAAGCCCTCAATCCAATACTGGTGCTTCTCCTTCTCCATCTCCACCTCAGCAGGGTAATTCACCACCTTTACTAAATGCACCTCAATCTGCGGCAGCTGCTACTAGCCAGGTTGGAAGTCCAGATTCGCACCGTTCGAGTATAGAACCTCAACCCAATATTCGTGCTTCTCCATCTCCACCTCAGCGGGGTAATTTACCACCTTTACTTAATGCACCTCAATCTGCGGCAGCTGCTACTAGCCAGGTTGGAAGTCCAGATTTTCCTGACACGACGGTGCTTAAAATATGGAACTATGAAATAGAATCTCCATTCACACTTCTTGGTCCATGGAGTTGCCGCTTAAAAATTCCCCATGCTGTGCTTTGTAGGTATGTAAAGCTGCTTGCTATTTGGTCTTCTGGGAATTGAATTCATTAATGGATAGTAAAATTTCCAATGTGATTTCCAGAAAATTTTAAATAGTCTTAGATCCTAATTATTAGATTGCAAAAAATTGCATTTTACATGATTAATTCTCAATTTGTCTTTTTTTTTTTGGTTTTGTTTTTTGTTTTTCCCTTCTCATAGTCGGATAGTATCAAATGCTTAGATATGACATTATTTTGCTAGTGAAAGAGGTGCTCATTTTTCTCCATGCGGAAGATTTTTAGCAGTTTGTGTAAAATGTGTCGAGCCATCGGTGAGTCCTCTTGATGTTACTGGCGCTGCAACTCGACCAACTAAATGTTCTAGATTTACAGTCGAGGACATTACTTATGAATTAAAGATATATTCTCTTGATGAGGCTACGTGAGTCTTATATTTTCTTGCATGCTACAAATTTACTCAATTCTAATATCATTTTTTGAATCTGATGCTTGTATTCTTTTTTATAGCTTCGGTTTAGTTTTAAACACTCGTCCGATCAAGGCCGCTGCATACTTAATTTCAATACAGGTTAGTTGTGTTATTTAATTTGGTTCCTTTTTTCTATGACCATCTCCAAGGCATTTGACAGTGATAACAGTTGAATGCATGACCATTACTTCTTCATCGGTTGTACTTTGGAAAAATAACTAATTTTGGGAATAAATGACATTGTTTATTGAAATATGTATATTTCAAAAGTTCTTACTTAGCTTGGTGATAGCTTCATTGTAATAAATATGTAAGGATGTAAGAGAATGATGGTATTTTAGTGTGTCTGATACATTGATCCGAATGTTATGATACTTATCATTTATAATTTATTTTATTTTCATTTGGCAACACTTTAGTTCTCGCCTACCTCAGAACATTTGTTGCTAGTTTATGGTCAGCAACATAGGACACTTCTCAAAAGCGCTCTGAGTAACGGAGGCAAGTCAGTATTGATTTATACAAATCTAGAGGTGAGAATTATGTGAAGAATCACATTTTTTATTGTACATACTTTGGCGAGTTGTTGTTTTTTACTTATAATTTACTCAAACTATTATATTTTGGCAACTTCAATCCATCATGACATTTCGTTATTCTTTTTTTTTTTTGTGCGTGTAGTGTAAGAAAGCTAAAATTGTAATATTTTGTTGAATTCCGCCTTTCAGACCTATTGGAATAAAGGATTTTAAGATACACAAAGTCTTGTATGTCTGTATCGTGTGTATTTCAATAAAATTTACTAGTGGATCATGAGTAAATTGTAAGTAAGAATAATTACTATATATATATATATATTTTAACATATAGTTGGTCTTGATATCAAGAATTACAAAAATATACCAAGCATTAAATGCATTTTTGTATTTGTTGATATTGCTCGATTCCAAGTACTTAAATTCATTGTATGGTCTCTCAGATATATAGAGTTTGTGATATGGAACTTATTAAGATTCTTGCCAATGCGGAAGAAGTGGTAAACTCAGCATGTTTCCATCCTTCAGTTGGTGGAGGCTTTGCTTATGGAACCAATGTAAGGAAAAAAAAAAGAAAGTTTCATTTTTTATCTTTGTTGATGTTGTTTTCATTGTGCTTTACACACACACATCTAATTTGACAAATATTTTCATCTAAATAATGTTAGAATGGAAAGTTGCGGATTCTGAAAAGTGACATATCGCATGGCTTTCGAAATGATGAACCAGAGGTTCCTGAAGGCATATTCGAGGTTAGTAAGAATTAGTCTTGCGATTATTAATCTCCTATACCCTTGTTGATGAATTGCTGATTCAATCCCAAATTAAAATATGTCAATGCATGAAATCCATTGGTAATTATTTCAAGTGTATATTGCATTCAATAGATAATTATACAATGATCACATTTTAGTATAAGCCATATGTTGAAGTGTTTGCCCTGCCCTACTTGTCTTTTACTTTTGATTGCATAACTTTATTTATTGGTTAAAGGCTTAGAGAGTGATTGGCCTCAGAAGGGTGGTCATTGTCAATTGAAGATGTCAGCAGCAACATGACTGAGGTTTGTTTTTCCAGATTTTCTTAAATCGATCTTCTGTTGTGCTGTTTGTGCATATTCAGATTTTTAATCCTTTTGATTGCCCTTTGAAGCTAATCTCTCTTCTTAGTTTACTTGAATTTTCTAGTTCCATATGTCTAGCAAACCTATTTCTTATTATAGTATACTGATTGTCTCATGTCAGCTTTGACACTGTTGTTGCTCATAAATCGACAAATGCGTTGGATGATGCTGTAAACAGATATTGGGACTGATGGATCTGCAATTTCTAGTTGGTTTAGTGTGTGGATGTGAGTGAAGATTACATAGGGCGTAAGGATAGGTAGGTATCCATCCGTCCGATCCGATAATTGCTTGGCATGGCATGCATTTTCTTCTTCTGTTTGATGGATTGAAGATTGAAAATTGATTGATTGACCTTGTACATACAACACTGCATTCAAATGATAAAAGCAAGCAGTTAGTTAGTTCCTTAGCTTCTTCATTTATAGTTATAGATATAGGTGTTGGTGTTTCCATTCCAGCCCAACACTCAGGAACATTATTATGGGATTATATACTACAGTATTAGATATATGTAGTGGAGTGGAGTGTTGAACTTGAAACACTAGTCAATTCAATACATAGGAATGGAATGGTACCACCATAATTTGAAGGATAAACAATAGGAGATGTGTGATTGATTTTTAAGGATGGATCGAAAAGCACAGCAAAATAAACACATTGGACGAGGGAGTATGACATAAAACAACAAACAGCAACGAAAACTCAAGTTAAACCTTCAATAACATTTCCCATTAATAATAGAGCAAAAATCAATTATAGTCTCAGTAAAAACAAATTTTGTCATTTTTCATCTCATCCAAAAAAATTTATCAAAATTAGTCCCATACAAAACAAAATTCATCATTTTTAGTCTACTCGTTCAAATTTTAACGGGCTGTGCTGTTTTGTCAGTTGGAAGCTGATCTGACAGTTGAGTCGGATCGAACACAACGTGTTATGTAGAGCACGGTCGTATTCAAACATACAACTCATCCATCTCCCTGACCGATTTTGACACGACCAAGTTCAAACAAAACACGTCCGTGTTTCGCCTCAACCTCAGAACACACTCGTTTCAGTGAGCGTGTTCAAACTCAGAACACCACTTGATCGTAACTTATGTACACATGACCATATATAGAAATGTACACGACCGGGTTTGACATCGTTTACATCAAAAACCCTAGCCCCACATGTCCTCACTTCACAACACAACAAACACTGCCAACACAACCGACAACCAACATATATTCTTCCAAATCCCCTATATTCCAACTCCACCTTCTCAACATTCCAACCTCACAGTCCATCTCCATGTTTTCAATATTCTAACCCTATATTCCACTTATTATATTTTATCTATTTGGAGTAAAGAGGTAAATTTTAAATTACTTTTTTCTTTATTGTTTTGTATTTTATAATATAAAAAATTATAAAATGTGTAGCAAGTATTTTTTGTGATTATAGAATTATATTGTATGAAAAAAATAAATATTATAAAGATAAGTTTTATATAATGTATTTTTTTCATTAATTAATGCATAAATTTTTGTATTTTATAACTAGTGTATTGAATATATGTTATATTATAACTTGTATTGTAGGAAAAAAATCATTATAATAGAAATAAATTACGATAAGGGAAAAAATGTTGAAGAAATGTGTGATGAAGATATAGACTTAGATTTCAATAAAATTAGAGAAGAAGATGAGTGGAATGAAATGCTTAATGAATATGATTTTGAGGATTCAAATTATATAATGGAAGAACAAAATTCAGAAGATGATATGATTGATCGGTCATTGTTTGAGAGCAATGTAGATATGAATGAGTTTAATGAAAATCAAAGGGTCGTAGTACACCAAAATTCTAAAGATGAGATGTCACTTGGCGATTCTAAAAAAAAGATTAACCAGCTTTGTCGAGTCCAATGTTGATGAGATAGAGTCGTATGTCATTTACGATACAATGTCAAAGTATGATCCCACTTCTAGTCTTAGAATGATTTTTAGCTCGAAAAAGGAATTTAAAAGTGCAGTTCAGAATCATGCTATCAAGACAATAAGAAGTTTGAAATTTGTCAAAAATGATAAAAAAAAAAAAAAAAAATTATGTCCGATATGCCGTTGAGAATTGCAATTGGAAAATAAACGCATTGAAGGTGAATGATCAAGCATATTTTCAAGCCGAAGTGTCAGTGCCACGCGACACCGGAACACTCATTCATCAACCAACGAGCCCTACGTTGTGGCGCTAAAGCTAAAATAACCACTACAAATAACTAATTAGAGATTTAAAATTAAAGCTCACCGGCTTAAACCAAAGATTAGGTCAAAAGACCTTAGTTCTTAAACATTAATAATGAATTTCAAAAGCATTCTAGAAGATAAAGTAGTTCTAATTCCCCCAATGGATCATATGACGTGCATACATTATTTAGGTATAATAGAAGCACCATTACCAACAAAAATTTGTAAAAAAGGGGTCAACACGACTGTCGAGTAACACAATTAATCAAAGATAAATTAATACGGTATAAATTATGATTTACGTGTAAATGCCACAAAATCATTTGAAGAAGATAATTAGAATTAAAATGTCACATATCACATAAATATAACTCACACACACAAGTCTTTTAGCGCCTCCCTTATATCTATTTTTTGTGCTCATATAATAGTGATGAACACATCATGAAGAACACTCCACTAGGCCTTAATCAGGGCCGGCTTGACCCGGTTTGTCAACCTTATTACTTCGTATGACATGCCACATAATTACACATAGCAAATATAGAGTCACAACCCTCAAGAAAAGCTCCACAATAAGTACATAAGGGTTCGAAGCCCAAAGTACACGTAAGTTAATTTATTTATTAGTTTGCGAGGGGCGCCAAATGGCCCACAACTCTCTAGTCTCCTGTATAACATACCAAGAGGGGATTGTACGCAATCCATCCCTCTATCACGGATGACGGTCCAAAGACCTTTTCATCGTGAATGACGGGAACCTCGGAATCACCCAAAAAGGGCACCCGCCATCTCAATCCTTCGGCCTAGCCCATTCGGGTTCTAGTTCGAGGTTAGCTAGTTATCCTAAAATACCGGTATACCCTCACACGTTTGTAAGGCACAGAGGTGAAAGGCTATGCCTTATCATCCAAACAATCGACGAGTAGTTTCAATTACCAATTTGATGCAATACTCAACATGCTATTAAGCAAATTTTAAAGAGAGCTTTAAACTCAAACCGTTCCAATTGCCAATATTTAACCAAGCAAAAAGTAGAATATTAAAACCCAACAAGTTCGTTGAAATATCACTTTCTTTCGCCTAATAAATATTTGAATAATATGTCAATCCCAATAGACATAATCTAACTAAAACAATCATAATATTTAAACATAATCACAGATCTTTTCCCAGAAAACATAACTAGGTTAGGGAAAAACTAGGGTTTCTAACCCGTTTCACAAATCATTCACTTTCCTAGTTAAATTACCGTAAAAATTTTCCTATAGACCCTAAAAATCATTCTAATAAACTTCCTAAAGGGAAGAATGGGAAAATCCAACGTTCTAGAACAAACTCATTTAAAAGCAATTCCAAAGAAACCACCAAGAATTAACAAATAGGTTTGGAAACAATAACATATCAATTATCTAAAATTAATTCCATTTAACTTACAAGAAGAGACGAAAAGAAAGAGTTTTGGAGAAGAAAACCTCCAAGGAAGAAAATGAAGATGTTGGGCGGCTGGCTGGAGGAAGGGTTGCTGCCTCTCTATTTTTTTCTTCTAAATAAATATAATAGAGTCGGGCATTTTTAAATCCTTGGGCCCAAAATGGGCCAAATCAAAATCTTTTCACTACAAAAATCAAATTAAGTCATTCAACTCCTAAAATAAAAATATTACATATGCTTAAAAGAAATTAGGCTCAAAATAAAATTTGTCCGACCCTGGCTCGGACCTGGGAAAGTTCCGAAGATTATTTTTACTGGGGGTAAAGTGTTTTTTAGTCCCGTAGCTGGACTCCCTTATCATTTTAGTCCCGTAAGTGGAGCTTGTTGCAAACTAGTCCCATAAGTAAAACAATTTCGTTCTTTTAGTCCTTCGGCGCCGGAGACGCCTGCGTGGCTTGCCGGAGACGCCCGTGTGGCTTCCCCCTTAGGACATTTCGTCCTCGAAATAAATCTGCACGCTCGGAGCTACCTCAAACAACTCCGGATACTTTCCTCGTTTTTCTTGCTTAGTTTCCCATGTCGCTTCTTCAATCCCATGTCGCTACCACACTACCTTCACCATCCTTATATCACGGTTCCGCGTCGATCTAACTTGCAATGCCTCAATCTGAATAGGTTGTTCCGTGTATACCAAATCCTCTTGAAGATCCAAAACTTCCGACTGAAGTATATGAGATGGATCAACCACGTATCTCCTCAATTGAGAGATAGAAAATATCATGAACCCTTTTCAATGTCTCCGGAAGAGCCAACCCGTAGGTCACTTCTCCAATTCTTTCGATAATCTTGTATGGCCCCACATACCTCGGGCTCAACTTTCCTTTAATACCGAATCTCCTCACACCCTTTGTCGGTTAGACCTTAGGTAGAACATGATCACCCACCTCAAAATGCCCATCTCTCCGAGCAAGGTCGGCATAGCTCTTCTGACGATCTTGTGCGGCTTTCATCTTAGTCTTGATGCTACGATTCTGTTTCATCATCTCCTCAATCATTTCGGGTCCCAATACAACCCTTTCGCTTAGGTCATTTCAACACAATGGCATTCTACACTTCCTCCCATACAAGGCCTTAAAGGGTGCCATCTCAATGGTTGTTTGATGGCTATTATTATAGGAGAACTCCACCAAAGCCAACCGATCCGCCCACCGACCTTGAGAATCCAATGCACAAGCTCGCAACATATCTTCCAAAATCTGAATAGTGCGCTCAGTCTTCCCATCTGTCATCGGGTGAAAGGCCGTGCTCATCCTTAACAGAGTACCGAACTTCTTTTGAAGCTTCTGCCAAAAATGCAACTGAAATTGAGGGTCACAATCCAAAACAATCACCTCCAGAACTCCATACCTCTTCACCACGTGACATACAACCTCGCCAACTTTTGCATGCTCCAAGTCATTCTTATCGGGATAAAAAATGCTGCCTTAGCCAATCGAGCAACAACCACCCAAATGACATCTGTGCTCGATCTCAACTTTGGTAATCCGGTCACAAAATCCATAGCAATCGAGTCCCACTTCCATTCCGGAACCTCTAAAGGTTTCAACAAACCCATAGGTCTCTTAGGCTCCGCTTTGTCCTTTTGACAATTGAAACACTTGGCGACATACTCCGCAATGCCTCTTTTCAACCGCGCCACAAAAAATGTCCTTTCAAATATTTATACATCTTATCACAACCTGGATGCACTGAATATGGAGAGCTATGAGCTTCTTTAAGTATCTTCTCCTTAATATCCCCAACCGATCC